TTTCAATAAATTCATCGTTTAAACCAATGAAAATGTACTAACAAAACATAAGTTACCTCCATTACATAATGGAGAAATATTCTGACATGCTTGAAGATATATACACACACACACACACACATATATATATATATATATATATATATATATATATATATATATATATATATAAGGTTTAGTAGTATTAAAAGTGCTTAATACACGTGTGTAAAAAATAAAGATAACAAGTAGAGCTCTTAACTTTAAAAATTAGGACAGTTTAGCAGTTTACATATATATATATACACACATATATATATATATATATATATATATATATATATATAACTAAAAGGGAACATTGAAGTCAACACTCAGAGACGAAAGGCGTCCAGCATGGAACAGCCTGTCGCCTCTGAGTGTTCACTTTTATATTTATATTTACATACGCTCTTTATATAAATTTAATTATTTAAATATAGCACAACTTAAAACTATATTTCTTCATATATATATATATATATATATATATATATATATATATATATATGTGTGTGTGTGTGTGTGTGTGTGTGTGTGTGTAAGAAATTTCATGCAATTGATTAGAGTTAAGGACACTCATACGTCAAAAAACAACGGGAGTGTCCAGTATACGTAAACTTCATATATGTATATACATGCCCATGAATTTGTGTGCATAGTTATACATAATGAAATTCATAATCTTAAAATTCATACAATTTTTTGAAAAATCGTTATAAATATATTTTTCCGTCCGCACATACACATAGACTCACGTACATGCTTTTTTTTTCATGTATCTAAGCAATCTCGCATAAGTATTTACAGGTGTGCCTGTTCGTGCACACGCGTACACGGTAGTATGAGATCAAATGTTTACGTTTTCATATTTTACGACTTATCTTTAAGTTATACACGTTGAATAAATGGCCGAGTGCCAATGTAAATTATTCTGGATGTTTACGTCTAATGCCAAATGAATCTAAAAATGCCACAAAACTGTATTGATTGCCAGAAAAAAAAAAAAGTTCACAAATGCGGAACTACGGAGCAAAAAAATCTCTTCTTTCAAGTCTTAGACAATTGCCAAATCCAGAATATATATATATATATATATATATATATATATATATATATATATATATATATATATATATACAAACAATTTAGATTAAAAAGAAGACACAAGTTATGTCTGTTTTTTTTTGTTGTATTTTCCAGTGTTTGAAAAGGGGGTGTTGTCTATCCGGTTGAAAGGTGTGAGTAAACTCTCCAACTTCATGTTGTGTGTGTTGTGTTGTGTTCAAAATGAGTTGTTGCTTATATATATATATATATATATATATATATATATATATAGATAGATAGTTAGATAGATAGATAGATATATATATGAGAGAGAGAGTGACATGGCATGAACATATATATATATATATATATATAAAAAGAGAGTTCAACTCCTGAGTGGCGACAGTCTGTTTAAACTCGAATGCAATCTTCAAACATGAAGCGTTCGTAGTCACGTGGTGTTGACATCATTGTGCACTTTTATATTAACATATATTCGATTCTTGATATTGAGCACTTTTTATCCATAAATATAGCATAAATTACCTATAAAGATAGCATGTGTATGTGTGTGATAAATAGGTAATTATAATATATATATATATATATATATATATATATATATATATATATATATATATATATATATATATATATATATATATATATATATATATATATATATATATCGAATTGAGTTCTGTGTGTTTATCTAGAAATAAATACATTTAAATTCACCTTCATCCCAACCGCGCGTTGGCGGCTCAGTGGCAGAATCCCCGACTGACGCCAATTCAATCGGGTTTCGATCCCGGCTAGAAGCAACCGGATGTCTAGTCACACTGATGGGCTGTGATATAGCGAAACAGTCTGTCTGTGGATGACAATATATATACTTCTGAAAAAATTATTTCGGTTGAGCTCTGTGGGGAGGAAGTGAGGGTTTTCTATCAAACTCAACTGGACGCCCGGTTCGATCTTCAAGGGTTAAATCTCCACCTCTGAATTTTGAAAACCATCTTCTGCAAGTTCTTTTATTCACATATTCCTCTCCATAAACCGAGTGAATGTTTCTAGCCGCTTCGGCTGCTGAGTTTCCTTTCTTGAACTCATAAAGCATTATGTGCCTCAAATGATTCTTGGGTACTTGCATGTTAGCAGCGTTTTCTGAAAGGATTTTTCTTTTTCTTTTTCTTTTTTCATCCATTTCTTCTTCGGGTGTCTTTCTTTATTCCTACACTTTTGGCTTTTCTTTCTTTCATTCATTTTTAATGTCCATTCCGCTGTGACGTCACCCCGTGGCCTCTCTGCCTCGTCGCCGTCTTGTCCTGTGACGACCAATGTGATTTGTTATTTGTCGCGGCACCAAATGTGACGTTCTAACCCTTGGCTGATTCGGATGGGAATCTGGTTAGATTCGGTATCAACTTTGTCGTTCCCAGCACGCCTCCAACGTCTGGTTACCGAAGTAACTGCTTTGATTTCTAGTCTAACCTACCCACGTTGTGATTTGATCTTAGGTAGACGAAATCAATCAGTCGCCGGGCCGCAAAGGTAACACTGCACAAGTATATGTAAAGGAAAATAAAGTAACAACTCGAAAAGTTCAAATGTGTTAAAAAAAAAGAATAACAATATTTTATATCTGGTTGCTGAATACAGGACTGCGACTTTCTCCCAACCCGCTTATATGGATTCGTGACACCTTGTGTTTGTTAGGCGAGTCTTAACATCTTAAGTTGTTTTTTCAAGAAACTGGTTTTTGGTGTGTCTTCAGGCGATATTCGTAAAACTTGTTTTGGTGGTGTGAGTCGTTCTTCAAAAATAAATTGTTCTTGATTAGAAGTTGAGGTCGTGATGCGTGGATCTTCAGTCAGCTTCCTGTGAGGCGGGTCTCAGAGCTCACAGCTCAACTGCAACTAAATTCTCTCTGACTCAACTTCCAACTCAACTACTTGCCTGTCTTACTGCCGTCCACTCGCCGCGAATCTGCTTATATGGACGCCGACCAAAACCGGGGTGGGCTTATCGGGGTTTGAGGTTTCTCGATAATTCTAAATCCACAATAAGGATTTTCTTTGTTTTCGGGCAGGAAAATTTATTACTTTCCATTTTTGCAAGTCCATTACTTTCTACTTTAAGGGAATCGTCCCCCAAATTCTTCCTTTCTCATATTGGTATCTCACACCAATCCCCTCAGGGGGCGTCAACAGGTTCCCCTCACTCTCATAGTGGCATCTCACACCAATCCCTTCAGGTGGCGTCAACAGGCCTCCCCTCCTTCTTCATAGTTTACCTTCAGCCAATGAACGCTCAGCAGCGTGGGTGTTTGCAATTATCGCTCAAAGGAAAAAAATATCCTCCTTTTTCTGTTTTTTTTCTTTCTTCTTTCTTTTTCTTCCCCGAGCAGACCTCAACTGATGTCTTTCTCGGTCAATGTGAGACCTAATTAATATTATCTCCCAGCTTCTGTTTCGTAGGCCACTTGACCAATTTGAAATTTTCATTATTGCCATGGGCAGATTGCTATCTTCTTTCGCCGCGTCATAACATAAATTAATTCCACAGATCCGATATCTTATGAATAATTATTTCAGCTTCTTCTCGCCTTCTTATCGCCTTAATTATTTCAGCTTCTTTTCGCTTTAATTATTTCTCGCTTTTCATTTTCACGCGACCGCTAAATAGTGTCACACTGCATTTCAATGCCTTTATTTTACAGCACTCTTCTATTCGTTTTTATTATTCACTTCCTCTGTATTTTTCTTTCAGTGTTTACACATATTGTATTGTTTCATTACAAGATATTCTCTTATTTTTTTTTAATCTAGAGTTCTTTGTTTTTGCATCACTTAACCAATCCGCTAATGGCCACGTGCACCGGGGTAGATTGTCCTAGTTCCACCTGCCGTGCCTCTTAAGGATATTTCAGTTATTTCCCTTTATCTCAACTCTCCAAGTTTTTGGTTCACCACTGCTGTGGCGTGGTATTGAACTCACAACTCTTTGGGTCTTGTCACCGGATCTAACCAACGTCTTTATCCACTGAGCCATGTGTCCTTGAGGGCACATGGTTCGTGGAATTGAACAATCTACCCCGGTGGACGAAATAAAGTTTCTGTTCGAAATTCCAATCCCCTAACAAGGCCGGGGCTTACAGCGGTCGAAACGTTGTGAATATGGCAATGAAGATGAGGATAACAGTCCGAATAATATAAATAATGCAAGTAAGCATAAGATCTTTTTGCATTAGTATTGCTCTCTCTCTCTCATTGCGTTCTTATTTCTAATATAGTATTTCTTGCCTCAGTGTCTTGAGGCTTGAGACTATATTACGTTGAAACCGTTTCCGGTATGATCACTCGAGATAAGCAACCACTGATCTCACAGAAAAAAAGCCGTTGTATACAGGTGACAGTTTAGATATTTCTGAGTGGGTTTGGTACCACGCGTGAAATCCATATAAAATAGTAGTGTTAGATACGAATTTTGTTTGTATTGAATATCTAGGCACTTTAAGTATAAAATGCAAGTGAAACCACATATAAATGAGATCGCTATTATTATAACCCCATCTCTGAAATGTGTACCAATGAAAAAATAATAAAAATAGTAGGGTCTACTTATCCGAACGATATTTTGCTCGTTATCTAATGTCTGATGATGGCAATTAATCCCACGAAAACTACGCTGATAACCTTCCACAACGACTTATAGTCAATTTATGTCAGTTGTGTGACAAAGTATGCTGGTTAGCCGCAGGTCGGAAGAGTTACAGGAAAGTACATATATCCGAATAAACTCGAAGACTATACACAAGTCGGGAAATCAAACGACACTGTCAAGACATAACCGCATACTAGCTGAAGTTTAGAGAAAGTAACAGTTAAAAACAAGTTTACTTCACTCGAATGATTTATAAGTTAATAGCGATGATTTCTCTGTAAATTTCTTAATCTCTGTTCTTTAATATTTACATTCAGGCTGCGTTCTGATTAAATGTTATTAAAATCGGAAAAGACTGCAGCTGGTTGAGAAGAAAAAAACTCTCACAAATTAAGGACTCATTTTTGCTTTTGTTAATCATATATAGAATCGAACGGAAGACAGTGAATTGTGGGTAATGTAAAACAAAAATAGAGACGAGGAAAAATTGAAAAGGAAATGAATGCTAATTCTCCACAATTGTCAAAAGAATCAAATTTAAATAATAAAGTTATAGTAATAAGAAAATTAATATATATATATATATATATATATATATATATATATATATATATATATATATATATTAAGTGGTTAAAAACTAAAGAAGTAGGGGAAGTCAGATGCGTCTTGTTTCAAAATTTAATTACATTCTTAGATTGGATTTTGAATAAGACGGTCGACGTGCTTACAAAATCGTCTTTATTTCTTGCTTGGACGTGAGCGGATTGGTTAATCTCACCACTTACAAGGTTCAGTTTCTTCACGACTTGGCCTTTCTCGCTTGGCCTGCATTTTTCCGCCATTTTACATTCATTTCTTGTTAATTCGTTTTATTTTATTTATTTATTTCGCTTCCTTGCAGATTTTTCTTTTTATAAATTCTAATCATTGTCGCCAGTAAAACTTCCCTATATTTTTTTATTATTATTGTTGTTCATTTTAATTTTATTTTCTACGTCCAAACACGTCTTCCTTTCGGAGGTTTTTCGACAACCTCTCCCTCTTCTTTGTGTTTTTTTTTTCTTCTATCAGACTAACTTTTTTATATTTTCTAGCCATTTCTTTTATATCTTGTGCACTCTCTTTCTCTGTCTATCTCTTTCATTTTTTCTTTCTTTCTTTCTTTCTTTTCTTCTTTCTTTCTTTCTTTCTCTTTCTGTTCATTCCTTCATTAATCCTTAGTTTTCATTCATTTTAGCGTCTTCTCTTCCTCTCTTTCTATACACGGCATTTATTTCTCTTTCTGTCCATACACTTTTTTCTCTTTGTTACATATATTCCTCTCTCTTTCAACGCTAAACATTTATTTTTACATTTGAGTTTACCTCTCTCTCTCTCTCTTTCTCTCTTTCTCTCTCTCTCTTTCTCTCTCTCTCCACACGCACCCTTTCTGTCTTTTTTCTCTACCCTCGATTTCCTTTCTTTTCATTCTGTCCATACACTTTTTTCTCTTTGTTACATATATTCCTCTCTCTTTCAACGCTAAACATATATTTTTACATTTAAGTTTCCCTCTCTCTTTCTCTCTCTCTCTTTCTCTCTTTCTCTCTCACTCCACACGCACCCTTTCTGTCTTTTTTTTCTATCCTCGATTTCCTTTCTTTTCACCCTCTTCCGCTTTCTAAACCTATTCACTCTTCCTTTCACTCCGTTTTTCCCTCTTTATACATTTCTACTCACTATCTTTATGACCACTCATTATGCTTTCTTTCTTTCTTCCTCCCTCTTACTGCACTACTTTTCTCTCTCCTTCTTTCCATCCCCACACACTTATCTGAATTTAAGCTAATTTTCAGTTAGATTTTCCATACCATTGTATTAAATGCGTACACCGCCTTTGCTGAATTTTTTTTTTCATGTAAACTCATAAAAATAATATTATTATTATCATTTGTGTATATTATGTTATGTTCCCTGCTTTGTATCCCTTGGCCGTATACGAGAATTGCCATTTAATTGATAGCACTTTTTTAGTATATGGGATGTTCCTAGTAGGGCAATCTTCTAGGCAACTTGTATGTTGATATCACTTGGGACACTGTTAGTCAAATTGTCCATTGCTTTTGTCACGAACCCCTGAGCTCCGATTACTATTAGTGCAGTTTCAGTCTTCATTCCCCACACCCTGTTAACCTCGATCTCCAGGTCCTTGCATTTGGACAATTTCTGGATAATTTTCATGGGGTGTTTCTCTCAGATGGCACTGCAATGTCAATAAGTATACACTTCCTGAATTTCTTGTCTTTTATTATAATATCAGGTCTGTTGGCTTTTATTTCCCTGTCAGTTTGAACTGGCATGTCCCAGAGGATAGTTACATCATTATTTTGGGTAACTGTCAGGTTGTTGTTCATACCATCTTTCAGTGGTTTCGATTTTGTGCTTCTTGCATATCTTCAAATGCATATATGTCGCTACCTTGTTATGTCTGTAGGTATGTTCATTTTCTGCTAGTTTGGGACATTATTATTATTATTATTATTTCCTTTGAGTTCTGGCGTTTACACATTTCTTTCCGAGTCTCGACCAGGGACCTAAGTTTAGAAATGGCATCATGACACTTTTCACTGACAAAAAAAATACATATATAAAGCCCTTCGTCAAATTTGAGGCATGGACTTCCAGGAATCTCTTCAATTAGTCTACTGAAATCTTTTCCAACCAATCCTAGGGCTTCAACTACAACAGGGATTGCTGATGTTCCCATGTGTCACATTTTTGAGATTTCTATTTCAAGGTCATTGTATTTTGACAGCTTTTTGAATATCTTCAAAGATACATTGCAGTCTGCAGGGACTGCCATATCAATAAGGAGGCACTTTTTTGTTTGTGGTCTTTAATAACAATGAATGTGCGGTTGGCTTTGGTTGTTCTGTCAGTGTGTATTGTATAGTGCCATAGAATTGTAACAGGTCCTATATCTGTAACCGGGTCTGGGTAGTCTTCATACCATTTTCATTTAGTTTCCTTCCCGTAGAAGTTGCAAATTTTCCAGTGCAGATATTGGCCCACTCTGTCATGCCGGCTTTTATACTCAGTGGGTGCCAATATTGTGCAACCTGATACAAGATGATCAATCGTTTCTGGATATTTATCACAGAATCTGCATTTTGGGCTAACATAATATTTTAGTATATGTGCTTGATAATTCCTAGTTAACAAGCTTTGGTCCTGTTCAGCTAGGATAAAACCTTCCGTTTCAGCTTTTAACCCTGCACTACGTAGCCACTGATGGGTACGGGTTTTGTCTACGTTAGCTTGTTTGGTATTATTGGATTATTGGCCATGAAGCGGTTTATCTTGCCATTGTTTCTGTATCTGGTCGATTTCATTTGCTTCTGCTTTCTTTATTATTATTATTATTATTATTATTATTATTATTATTATTATTATTATTCCTTAAATTTTTGCACCAAATTTCAGAAAAAAAAAGAAAAAGAAAAAAAGAAAATGCTATGTCATTGGTCCTGACCTAGAATGTCGGCTTCAGTCACTTTCCTACCTTTGCTTCTCTGTGTCTTTTCTACAAATACTGCCATGGTAATTGTTCTGATGAACTTTCCTCTATGATACACATATTTTATGAATTTAAGCGCAGTACTAGATCGGCGGCAAGGTCTCACCATTTTACAGATTAAGTGGGTAGATGTAACCGTAAGTTCTATGCTAACAGTTTCTTCTCTTGAACTACTCGCTTGTGGACCTCTCTTCCAGCTTCTTGCTTTCTAGTCAGCTTTGATCTCCAAAAATTTAAATGCGATGTCAATCTTTATCTTCTGTCTTTTTAATTGCTGTTCTTTAATTACTCTTTTCTTAATAGTGTTTTTTACCTCATATTCTCTACCGCTCAGTAATCCCTTAAGTGTTAGTGGCTTTATTGCCTTGTTTGGGGTGATAATGATTAAAAAAAAGGATTCTACGTTTTAAGTCATTGCAGAAACTTCAAGAGGTGTTCTTCGTCAACATTCAAGTAAAGTGTTTATTCGAAACTGAAAGAACTCTAATGGCTTTGAGCTGCGAATATCAAACATTTGAAGTTGCCGATACACCTGACCAGAGCGAAACGAATCTGGTTGTGCGTGGGTGTTGCTTTGAACTAGTTGACACCCATCCTATTCTCCTTATTTCTCGCCATCTGACTACTTTCTAATCCTCAGACTGAACAAACACTTGGCTGAGAATCAGTATCGCCATGATGATGACGTCATACCTGCTTTTGGTGATATTTTGACCAACAGGATGAACAATTAACAACTGAGTTCACATTTTTAATCAAAGTAAATTACTACTTACTGTTCATTTGGAGAGGAGCACTTCACGTTTGTGCTGTAACTCTACGCTTAGGCAATGAAAAGGAGAAAGTGTGGTCCGTTTTGTAAGATTGTTTTTTGTTTTTGTCTGTGTTGTGTTTCCTTAAGGCAGCTGCTGGCTACCTCTCCTAGTACGTATCTCCTCTACAGCCAATCCTCATGCTATCGTAGCCTCGACTCAAACATTTTTATATTGCTTTTGTTGGAAGAGTTCGCGTGACGAGGTTTTTTTTTATTTGGTATAACACTTTGTATTTGATCTTTTAACATTTGGTATAACACTTTGTATGTGATCTTTTAACAGCAATTCTGAAGGAGCTGATAAATTAATTCCTTTGAAGCCATTTTCATTCTTGATCTGAGTAAACGGTTGTACGTCATTGTAAGAGTTTCAAGAGGCTTCCTACGCCCCTATTCATTTAAAGTGTTTATTCGAAACTGAAAGAACGACAATGGCTTTGAGCTGCGAATATCAGACATTTGAACTTGTTGATAACTGACCACAGAAAAAAGTTTCATTGAGCAAAAATAGTGATAGTCTGATAGTATTTATTCTCGAATAAAATTACGCATGCAGAAGAACTTCTTATAACAGCGTTGTGATGATAGGGTACAGCGTCGTATCTGTAGCACAACGACGCGGTTTCTCATGGAAGACAACCGCTGGTCAAATTCCTTGATCTGGAAATCGATTTTTCTATCCAATGCATAATTCAAAAAAAGGTGACTATAGTCTATTTTTTTCTCCCTTTAGGTTAACCCGTGTTTCGCGTTGCAGATTTCTTCGAAATTGTCAGAATTCATAAATTTTAAACAATCTTCAAGAGGGTCCGTTCGCATTGAAACTCAAAAGTAATTATTATCATTATTATTTGTATTTCGAATTTTATTTTCTACGTCTTACTTTCGGAGATTTTTTGACAACTTCCTCCTCTCCCTTCTTAGTTTTCTCTTTTTGTATCGTCCTGCATATTTCTCTTCGCTCAAACTATCTTTTCATATTTTCTAGCCATTTTCTTTATCTCTTGTACATTCTCTCTCTCTCTCTCTATCTCCCTCTCTATTTCTATCTTTCTCTCTCTTCCTTTATTTCTTTATTATTCCTTACTTTCCATTCATTTTAGCGTCCTCTCTTTCTATACACGCCCTTTATTTCTCTTTCTTTCTATACACATTTTCTCATTGTTACATCTATTTCTCTCTCTTTCAAAGCTAAACATTTATTTTTACATTTAACTTTACCCCATATTTCTCTCTTCCCCCACACACCCTTTCTGTCTTTTTCTCTAGGCTCGTTTTTCTTTCTTCTCACTATCTTCCTCCTTCTAAACCTATTCCTGCCACCTTTCACTCTGTTTTTACCGCTCTATACATTTCTACCCACTCTCTTTATGCCTATATTATATTTTTCTTTCTTTTTAAAGCCCTCCCTTTCTCCCTCTTACTAAACATTTATTTTTACATTTAAATTTACTCTGTCTCTCTCTCAATCTTTCTCTCTCTTTCAATCTTTCTCTCTCTCTCTCTCTCAATCTGCAATTTTTACATTTAAATTTACCCAGTCTCTCTCTCTCTCTCTCTCAATCTTTCTCTCTCTCTCAATCTTTGTCTCTCTCAATCTTTGTCTCTCTCAATCTTTCTCTCTCCCTCTCTCTCTCAATCTTTCTCTCTCTCTCTCTCTCTCAATCTTTCTCGCTCTTTCTCAATCTTTCTCTCTCTCTCTCTCAATCTCTCTCTCTCAATCTTTCTCTCTCTCTCTCTCTCTCTCTCAATCTGCAATTTTTACATTTAAATTTACCCTGTCTCTCTCTCTCTCAATCTTTCTCTCTCTCTCAATCTTTGTCTCTCTCAATCTTTCTCTCTCTCTCTCTCTCAATCTTTCTCTCTCTCTCTCAATCTTTCTCTCTCTCTCTCTCAATCTTTCTCAATCTTTCTCTCTCTCTCTCTCAATCTTTCTCTCTCTCAATCTTTCTTTCTCTCTCAATCTTTCTCTCTCTCTCTCTCTCTCTCTCTCTCTCAATCTGCAATTTTACATTTAAATTTACCCTGTCTCTATCTCTCAATCTTTCTCTCTCTCTCTCAATCTCTATCTCAATCTTTCTCTCTCTCTCTCTCTCTCTCTCTCAATCATTCTCTCTCTCTCAATCTTTCTCTCTCAATCTTTGTCTCTCTCTCTCAATCTTTCTCAATCTCTCTCTGAATCTCTCCCTCTCAATCTCTCTCTATCTCAATCAATTCCACAAACATTCTGTCTGTCTTTTTCTGTGTCCTCGTTAATTTTTTTTAAAACTTTGCAAACCCATTCTGCAATTCGGCTTGCAATTAATCCACCATAACAATAAGGTTCAGCGCTCTGCTGCTTAACGTCAGCTGTGCATTTTATTCCAAGATTAAACATTGTCGCATTTGAATTTCACACTCAACAATGATTTTCACAGAAATAAAGAAAAAGTTTCATTGTTCTGCAAAAAAATTCATGCCGACCGAAGCCACAAAAAAAAAAAAAAGATAAATCTAATAATGTATAGATGATAATGTTGGAGATGTTTGTATAATTTTTAATAAATGTTTAAGCATTACAAAGACCAGCAGCTACTCAAGACAATGAATTACTTGCTCAACAACCTTGATATATTCGGGAAAGATTTTAGAATAACCAAGAACCTATACTGGCAGCAAACGTCTTACATGCGTATAGTGAACAAGTTCAGCGAATATACAAAACTAAAAAGGGACGTAAGGCAAGGATGTGTCTATTCAACCTATACAGCGAAGCAAATATGAGAGAATTCGAAACCCTACCGACATTTAGTATTGGCGAGTACAATCATACCAACATAAGATAGCACATTACTGGTAGCAGACACGGAAAAGACACTACAAAACCTCGCACAGAATGTAGCGAGGGAGAACGAGAAGAAGGGGATAACCATAAACTACAACAAGACTGTATAGTAATCACTAAAAGGTTCGAGCTCGAAATGCGATTTGCAGGTCGGGGATACTAAAATCAAGCATGCGCAGAAGTTTAAATATCTGGGAAGTGATTTAACGGAGAACGGCAGGTGTGACTCTTAGATCCGAAGATGGATGGTCAAAGATGCAATACCTCAAGCTGGCCAAAATACTGCGAGACAGGAGGATTTCTTTGCTGACAAAGAAAAGAGTACTGAGCTGCTACGTGAAATCTGTCCTCCTCTACGGCAGCGAATATTGGACGGTCTTCTCAAAGAGCAAGACGAAACTAGAGGCCACGGAGATGTGGTTCTACAGAAGGATGCTGAGGATATCATGGACCGAACGTGTGAGCAACGATGGAGTCTTATAGAGGATGTAAACAATAAGAAAGCTTATACTTAACATCAGGAAGAGTCAGAAAAAATTTCTAGGACACATAATGAGAAAAGAGGTCCTGGAGAATCTGATACTCACAGGTCGAAGAGACAAAGAGAGACAAGAGAAAGCAACGCATGACATACCTGGCGGGCTTAAGCAAGTGGATGACATAAGGTTGCCTGGAGGAGGTGGCAGAGGGATGAAACTTATTGAGAGCTACAAGAGACAGGAGGATGTGAAGAGCTATGATCGCCTACGCTCTGAAGGGACACGGCACATACAAAGAAAGTAATAACACTTAATTTTAAAAAAATATAACAATCGATGCATAAAAAAAGAAGTGTAAAAAGATTTATTCATGCCAATGTATAATTAATTTAATAAATACAGGCGATTAATTGTTCTTAATATAATAATCCTTAGTGAGACATTCTTAATAAATTAAACTTGCTATCTGTCCTCATTTACGGCAGCCGATTTTGGATGGTCTCCTCAAAGATAAAGAGACTCGAAGCAACGGAAGTATGGTTATACTGAAGTATGCTAAGGATATCATGGAGCGACCGTGTGAGCAACGATGAGGTTTTGGAGACGATGCAAACAAGGAGGAAGAGGCAGATGAAATTTCTGGGACACGTAATGAGAAAGGAGGGTCTGAAGACTCTAATACTCACAAGTCGAATAGAGAGAACACTTGAATAAAACAAATTCTTCGTATTCTTATGCCTCTTAATGACTTCGCGAACATAATGCGGCGGCAACACCTCTCAAACAGACGCGATTCCGGGTGATCCTCTTCAGCTCGGCCCATGTAGCGCCGGCTACCTTCACTCCTGCGTGAACACTTCTGCGCCAAGTCTGTTTTAGCCGACCCACTTTTCACTTCCCTTGTGGATTCCAGTCAAGGGCCTACCTGGTGACACTAGAAGCAACTTTGTGGAATGCGTGGCCGATCCATCACCATCTCTATTTCTCTCTTGTGTCTTGATTCCTTGGGGAACATAGGACCGCAACAACACCTGCCCAACGAACGCGGTACCGGGTGATCCTATTCAGCTCGGGCCATGTCGTGCCGGCTGCCTTCATCTCAGCGTCAACACTTCTGCGCCGTCTGTTTTATTCTACATACTTTTCGCTTCTTTTGAGGATTCAAGTCAAGGGCATGCCTGGTGACACTAGAAGCAGGCCGATTTATCCCCATTTCCGTTTCTTGATGACAATCTCGATTGGGGCTTGTCTGGGACTGTCCCACAGTTGGTCGTTGGAGACGACTTCCGGCCAGCTGATATTGATGATGTTCCTCAGACATCGATTGATAAATGTTTGAAGTTTGTTGGTGTTGGTCTTGGTTACCCGCCAGATTTCTGAGCCGTAATGTAAGACCGACCTGACGTTGGTGTTGAAGATCTTGATCTTGTTGTAAAGTGAGAGGATTGTTGATCTCCAGATTGGCGGCAGTGTGTTGAAAGCATGTTGGGCTTTGTTGATTCGACCCTTGATGTTTTCATTTGCCCCTTCCTCTATCATTACTGACGACGCTTCCCAGGTAGACAGGCTACCTGGGAAGCGTCAAATTAAGATTTTAGTATTCGAGGAAGCATTCAGTTGGGAGTCTCTTCCATAGATTAGAGTCTTTTGGAATGGAGCTTTCTTCTTAAAGGAAAACGAAGGAAATGTGTATAGTTGGTCAATGAGTATGGACAGAGACATGCAGATGTTTTGTGATGCCCGATACCAAATCCTTGATTGTATGCACCTAAGACTAAAGTAGAAGAGGTCTATAGGGCCGAGTACCGAGAAATATGCAGAAAGGGAAACATTTTAAATATGTAAAAACACATAAAACACGAAACAAAAACTTTATTCAAAGTAAATATAAACTAAATTTTTATTTCACTCTGATTGAATGGCCTCCCAATATAAAGATGGCCGAGGTAATCGAACCCTCTGTCCCACTTCTGTACGCTACTGCGCATGGGCCAGATACATTATTTGTTCACATTTTTTATTCATAATTTTCTTTTTTTCATTCCCAATTTGCTGTCATACGAAAAGGTATATTATCATACATTCAACCTGTCAATCACGGAATAGTTGATCTATCTATCTATCTATCTATCTATCATTTTCTCTGTGTCGGCGTCTCTTCATGACTATCTATCTATCTATCTATCATTTTCTCTGTGTCGGCGTCTCTTCATGACTATCTATCTATCTATCATTTTCTCTGTGTCGGCGTCTCTTCATGACTATCTATCTATCTATCTATCTATCTATCTATTTCAGTATGTTCAATATCTACTTATATATCTATATATCTATTTCAGTATGTTTATTATCTATCTATCTTAATCTGATTATATCAACAATAAATAGGGACACGCATACTGTCAAATAGAATTCCAATAATCTATCTATCTATCTATCTATCTATCTATCTATCTATCTATCTATCTATCTATCATTTTCCCTGTGTCGCCGTCTCTTCAGGACTATCTATCTATCTATCTATCTATGTATCATTTTCTCTGTGTCGGCGTCTCTTCATGACTATCTATCTATCTATCATTTTCCCTGTGTCACCGTCTCTTCATGACTATCTATCTATCTATCTATCTATCTATCTATCTATCATTTTCCCTGTGTCGCCGTCTCTTTATGATTGTCTGTCTATCCATCTTTTTCCCTGTGTTGCCGTCGCTTTATGACTATCTATCTATCATTTTCTCCGTGTCGCTATATGTTCATAACTAAGTTTTGTATACTAGAATTTACTTAGTATCAAATTTCCAGTCATGGTGCTTCATATAATTCACTATCCAATGACTGACGTAGAAGAATGCTTACCAAGCTAAACTCACAGGCGATAGTCAGTATAGGGAATTCGATCTTCACTGGGCGACTCTAGCCCTGTGATCGACTACATCAATGTTATTAATATTTTCACATTTTGATGGTAGAATCCGCTGCTAACCTGTTAATTTATTCTGAACAATCTTCGCTGAAGTAAAAGAAAAACAATACAAGAGATTTCTTTCGAAGAAACTTTATTCGTTAGAATCAACATGTCTAATGTGAAATGTCTAATGTTTAATCGAAACAATTTTTGTGACAATCCAAGAAAACGAGGACGTGAGCTTGAACGAGAAGTGTGTGTACAAACGTGAAAGTGCGTGAATAGGGAAAAATGGTTCAACAAGGCGGAAATGATGTATGATTAAACATCAACACGGAAAGCATAGAAATAAGAAAATAGAAATAGGAACGCATTTTATTAAAACCAGATTGAAGGAAACAATGAAAATGCAAAGAAAAAGAAAAGTGAAAATATAGGAGATGCCAATGGTGCGCCTCAATAAGAAAGCTAAAAAAAAATTGAAGTTGCAATATGTCTTTGGGACAATGAAAAATAAAAACAAATGAACAGCTAAAATTAAAACGTTTCCTTTAGCTATCAAGAAATCATTGTCCTATTGAAAGAAACGTTCTTTTGAAAGATGTATAGAGGCGGGCGCGTATTTTTTTAGATACTTTTAGCTTGTGAGTTTTGGATGTAAGGTCATGGAACAGGTTAACATGAACGTATATGTAAAAGCGAATTAAACACGCACACGCATATGTATATATATATATATATATATATAATTTTATCATATAGACAAAAATAGTTTACTCACTACAAAGATGCAACTTCGTTTCGTTGTATTTCAATTGCTGCTCGACGGGTGAGAATCAAAAATGGTTATGAATAATTCTTCTTGTAGGCAAGCCGTATGTGAAACGCCATTTCATTTTTTTTCCATTTGTTTGAGAAGAAAATATACACAATGCCAAAAGATGACGGATTGAAACAATAGAGCTTGTTTATAGTAGAATGGTGAAGAATGAGTGTGGTGTTGAATACTGGCTAGTCTGGGAAGATTCATTGTCGATAAACACGGTCAAAATTTTAGGCACAGCACTTCACAATCGTCCTAAGAGTGAGAGGTGAGAGAGGAAAGGTGGGAATAGGGTTTCCAGCTATGGGCAAATAGTTAACCCCGAAACTGAGGTAAAAAGCATTATAAAAGTTTAAAAATAGGTTTTAATACTAGAAATACTTTTCAAAAAGATATTACCAGCAATGAAAGTTTTGAAAAAAAATATTACGAGCGAAGAAAAATTGTTAACAAAATAGTTTTTTGAAGGAAAAATATAATACAGGAAATATATTTAAAAAAAAAAAATATTACCGACAGTTAAAATTTTGTCGGCATTAAATAACCCATTGAGGTTGACATGTCGTAAACCAAACCAGACCAAACCAAATCAAACCAAACCAAACCAAACCAAACTGAACCGAACCTTCGTAAGGAGTGATCAGTATTTGCGAAAAAATTTTTGTATTTATTTTAGACAGTGTTTTTCAACCTTTTTAAAAAGCATTTGAAAATATCACTGATCACTTAGCAAAACTTTTAAAGGGTATACAGTTATATAGTCAAATGTTATGAAATAAAATTTTTAAAATACACACAAATACGAACTTATTTTCTTCCAATGTTTCTATTCAACTATTTGTGCAATTTATTTAGTGTGAAACTTGAATCTGGTGGGGTTTTTTTTTCGCGATTTATTCAATTTTGGTTGGAATGTGCGATGAGCAGACAATCATTTCTTATTCAGTTGAGCATAGTCTTATCTGAATTATTTGAAAAAACGATTAATACTTATTCATTTATTCGAATACGTACGCTGCACAAATTATTACTTACACACACACACACACGTACACACACACACAATGTAATACGTATATATATATATATATATATATATATATATATATATATATATATATATATATATGCATGTCGTGACAATATTTACAGGCACACTTATTTTCATCGCGCGGCACATTAGTGTACCTCGGTACGACAGTTATATATATATATATATATATATATATATATATATATATATTAGGTTGGTGCAAAAATAATGTCGTTTTTTGACGTTCAACTTCAAAAGATCATAACTCCTTTCATAATAAATTTTATTAATCGAAATAAGAACCATTAGAATCGACACATTTTTGCCAACGAGAAACAAGTTTATTTATCCCATTAGCATAGAAATCCGGAGTTCTGGAAGCGATGAAGTCATTGAAGGCCGATTCGGCATCATCTCGGCTTTTGAAGCATTTTTCGCGCAGGAAGTTGTCGAGATGCTTGAAAAAGTGATAATCGGTGGGCGAGAGGTCCGGTGAATATGGCGGATGAGGCAGAGTCTCGTAGCCCAATTCGTTCCGCTTCTGCAGGGTCAGTTGAGCAACATGCGGGTGAGCGTTGTCATGGAAGAGAATTGGTCCCTTCATATTGACCAAACTCGGGCACATACGTTGGAGCTTCTGGTGCATTTCGTCAATTTGTCGGCAGTACTTCTCCGCCGTAATCGTTTCTCCCGGATTCAAGAAGCTGTGATGGATGAGACAGTCACCATAACCTTTTTTTGGTGCAATTTCGGCTTCGGGAAGTGTTGTGGAGCTTCTCCGGCATCCAACCACTGTGCCGAACGTCGCCGGTTGTCGTAGAGGATCAACTTCTCATCACACGTCACAATCCGCCCGAGAAATGGGTCGTTTTTGTTGCGCAGAAGGAGCGTAGAAGACAACTCAAAACGACGATTTTTTTTTATTATTGTTCAATTCATGCGGCACCCATTTATCCAACTTTTTTGACTTCTCTATTTGCTTTAAATGGCAAACGACTGTTGAGTGGTCGACCTCGAGTTCAACAGCAACTTCTCGTGTGGTTTTGCGAGGATCGGCTTCAATTAAGGCTTTCAAATGTTCGTTATCAACCACAGTCGGCCGGCCGCGACCGTCTTCATCTTCGAGACGCTCGTTACCATTACGAAATTTCTTGAACCACCGTTGTGCCACACGTTCGTCAGTGGTTCCTGGGCCAAACGCATCATTGATATCACGAGCTGTCTCGGCAGCTTTTCGGCCTAGTTTGAACTGGAACAAGAAAATCGTGCGGATTTGAATTTTTGTCCATGCTGTCGAAAAGCCTGCAAAAAATGAATGAAGATATTGAGAACGGTAACGAATAAGACGATTCGATAGAGCGAAAACGCGCTTCAAAATGATATATAACATGGCTATATATATCAATGAATTAATTCAGAAATCATATATAAAATAACATATGTGGGAGAAAACGAAAATTATTTTTGCACCAACCTAAATATATATATATATATATATATATATATATATATATATATATATATATATATGGGGTTTCAATGCTCGGTAGTGGATGCGCACTGCTGATGAGTCCCAGATATAGGACGAAACGGCCGTCCAGTGCTTTCTGCATTCTGTTGAGGTTTCTATCAGACTCGATGAATTAATTAAATATAATTATCGAATCCACCTAATAATTACTATATATATATCTATATCTATATCTATATATATATATATATATATATATATATATATATATACATATATATATATATATATATATATATATATATATATATATATATATATATATATATATATATATATATGCAGTGACAGTATTTACAGGCACACTTAAGTTCATCGCGCGGCACATTAGTGTACCGCGGCACGGTGTTTGATAATCACTGCTTTAAGGCATAAGCTGCTAGGGATCCCTTCAAGATGCTTATCAGAATCTTTTTCCAGTCAAACCCAGAGACACAATCACAACAGGAATTATAAATGTCTTCATATGCTACATTTTTTTAGATTTCCACTCCAAGAACCTTGTATTTTAATCGATTATTATGATTATTATTATTATTGACGTTTCACTTGCATGGCTTCAGGCTGGCGGCGTTTCATTCGTTTTGATGCATTCATTACCAGTGCAGCCGTTTTTTTGTGTGTTTTTTTTATCGTTACAAGACAAGCAATGTTTGTATAAAGACTTTTAATTTTTTATACTTGAAGAAGACAAACATTCTGGTGAAATATTGTTTAACATTGTCAAGTACCATTATTATTTCATTTCCTTTGATTTCTGGCGCTTACTCATTTCTTTCCTGATCCCGTCGAGGGACCTAAGGTTAGAAATGGCATTATGACATTTTCCACTGAGCAATTTTGAAAAAAAAAATTACAGATATTTTGACATAGCACATAGCATAGGTGTGGGCTGTACTCGTAAGAATAATTTTTTTGTATTTCTTTTACTCATAGGCTCGGAGGAGTCCCTTCAATTCGTCTACTGGAATCTTTGCCAACCAGTCCGAGGGCTCCAACTAAAAACTTGTTGATGTTCTCATGTGCCACAATTTTGAGATTTCAATTTTATGGTGCTTGTATTTTGATAGCTTTTTGAGGATTTTCAAAGATACATTGCAGTCTGCAGGGACTGCCATATCAATAAGGAGGCAATTTTATTTGTTTTCCGTCTCTTATAACGATGTCAGGGCGATTAGGTTCGATTGCTCAGTCTATGTGTATTGTGCAGTCCCATAAATTTATCACAGGTGCTATTTCCGTAAGCGGGTCTTATTGGTGTTCATGACAATTTCTTTCCGTACATGTTGCAGATTTCAGAGCCGTTTTTTTTTTTTTTTTAATATTCAGTGGATGCCAATACCTTGCAACATGAAACAAGATGATCAATTATTTCTGGATATTTATCACAGAATCTGCGTTTTTAACACAATATTTGAAAGAACA